AAAGGAAGAACGTTTCTTAGAGAAGGCATTCACTTTGCAGTTAAGGCAAGGAAGGGAGCTAGGAGGTTAAAAGTGGGGGAAAGTTTATTTATAATTGAATGGAAGTTCCTGGGCACAGAGGAATGACCTGGGAAAGAAAAGGGGGAATCATAGAGAGAAAACCCAGAGCAGAATGGCAGATTGGAGACTACTATAAAGGAGAAGAGACCTGGCTGGAGGCAGGGCCATCACATAGGACAATGCAGGCTGAGAAGGGCAGGGAGCGTGTGGGAAACTGTGGTCATATCTAGCCAGCTGCCTTTTGGTAAAGTCCACAAGCTAAGAATGGTTTTTATATTTTCAATGTTTTTTTTTTTTTTTAATTGAAGGTGAGAATAATATTTCACAATACATGAAAATGAGATGAAATCAATGTCAATATCCATAAATAAAGTTTTATTGGCTTATAGCCATGCCGATTCATTTACATATTGTCTATGGCAGCTTTCACACTACAGTGGCAGAGTTGAGTAGTTACAACAAAGACTAAATGGCCTACACAGCTGAAAATATTTACTATTTGATTCTTTACAGAAAAAGTTTGTCAGCCCCTGCTTTAGTACATCATGGTCTACAGTATGAATGGAAACCCTGGAGTTGTGCAACTCAGGGGACCTGGCCTTAGGAGCACCCATTTTGGATGGTGATTAAGGATTACAGTAAAGAGAGGCATGGATGGAATTACATGGCCTCTGGGCTCTTTTCGGAATGTGGTGTGGGCACAAAGTTTTTTGGTTAGAACAAAGCCAGACTATCCGCCTGGATTCAAGCCACCAGCTCTGGGCTGTTGAGGAGCTGGGTGTGGTGGACACTGCGGGTTGCCCATATAATCTCCGTTTCTCCTCTCGTTCCTTATTAGCAGAAGCCTGATTTTAGCAAGGTGGTAATATGCCCTATTAAAAATAATCTCAAATAAGAAAAGTACTCAGAGAATGATGGGGACAGGACAAAAGGACACAGATGCCAGCTTACAGGGGCTCCTAATGGCCGATCTGTGACAATTTGAGCACCAAAATAAATTGATATTAGTGGACTATAATCCGTTCAATAGAATAAGAATCTGTGAATCCATACTGAAAGAAAGAAATAAATGAAGGAGGAAGAAAAGTTCTCTTATGCTGTAGAAGGCAAACTAATAAATTATAGAATGAACGACAGAATTATAAAATCACCATTTACAATCACCATGTTATTATTTCAGGCAAGAAACGTCACGTCAATGGATGCTAAATCTGGTAGGTGAAAGTTTGGTGAAAAACATCATATTTATATTGTCTCAAAGCATTTCCCACAGATTCCTATTAACTTAATTTCAAAGTGTAAAATAGTAACTTTGTAGGATGGAAATCTGACCACTACCACCTTACCACTTTAAACAAGTGATCAGAGTTAATATCACTAGTAACAGGACAAATCAAAATTAGGATCCTCCTGATGTGATGCATTGGGGAGGATACCGCATCATTCCTACAGTGTTCCAGTTGGAAACCTATAACCTAAAGTATGAGGAAACATCAGATAAATCCAAATAAGTGATGTTCTACAAAGTAACTGGCCTGTGGTCTTCAAAAAATGTCAATGACATGATCAAGATGGATTGAGGAACTTTCTAGATTAAAGTAGACTAAAGCAACATGACAACAAAATGCATTGTGTGATCCTGGATTGATTACTGGACCAGATAAAAGTAAGACAATTAGCAAAAGCTGTAGTTTAGATAATAGTATTGTATCTGTGTTAATTTTCTGATTTTGATCAGTGTACTATGGGTACGTAAGACAACATCCTTACTTTAGGAAGCACACACCGAAGTATATAGGAGTGAAATGTGGACAGAGAGATAGAGAAAATGATAAAGTAAATATGGTAATTGTTAATAGTTGGAGATTTCGGGTAAAGGATACACAGGAATTCTTTGTACTATTTTTTGGCAAGTTTTCTGTCAGTTTTAAACTATTTTAAAACAATAAGTTAACAAACAACCTTATCTCCCCCAGGGACCCATGCAGTGAGATATTCATATCCCTAATCCTGGCCAGTGAATTGTAGTTTTAGTCTAATGGATGGGGCTTCTCAAAACTATTGTTTTTTTATGATAAAAATGAGAGATACTTGGCAAATGCCTTTTGCCCTTTACCCTTCCCCTTCTTCTTTCTTGGAGTGGGGGCTTAATGACTGGGTGTGGGGCAGGCAAATTTGACTTTGAGGAAAAAAGGAACTGAAGTCTTGATGGCTCCATTAAGCTCTGCCTGGACTGCCCTCTGGGTAAGTTGATTAATCCACTGTACTCAGGTTTCTGTTATATGCAGCCAAATGCAATTCCAGCTGAGCTAGTGTCTAAGCCTCCCAGTGGTGTTAGGGTTTGGAGTTGTGTAGCTCGACTCCTCAGTCTTCTTCCTGGGCAACTGCTTTCAAATGCCCTTTAAATGTTGATGTTCCCTACATTTGGATCCTCAGCCTTTTCCTCTCTCTAAGGTCTCCTTGGGTTACCTCATCCACTCCTACTTACCCTTTAAACTCTGATAACTTAAATTACTGTCTCTAGCCTAGAATTTTCTCCTGAATTAAAGTCCACACATCCAGCTCCCTCCTGGAAACCTGTGCCTATAGTCCATTGTCACTTCAACAGTTACAGAGCTGAACTCTCCTTTAAGACACACACACACACACACACACACTAGTGTTCTCTCTGTCTCTGTCTCTCTGTCTCTGTCTCTGTCTCTGTCTGTATCTCTGTCTCTGCCTTTCTCTTTCTCTCTCTCTCTCTCTCTCCCTCTCTCCCTCCTTCCAACCACCATCCAACCACTTTCCCAAATCAGAAACTCAGGAGTCATCCTCTCCTCTTCCTACTTTCTCACCCCCTACAAGCAATTACTCATCCAGATCTTGATGATTCTATCTTCTAAATAGTTTCTGAATCCATTTCCTCCTCTTCACTCTCATTATCTGGGTAGATGCCTCACCATCTCTCACTGGTATTTTTTCATTAACCTCCTAAACAATCTCCCTGTCTCTGTCCTCTGTTCCCCTAATATATATTGCTGCTGATTATCTCTAAAATGTAAATATGATCACCATACTTTTCTACTTAAAAAATTTCTGTCGCTTCAACTGCTTATGGTGATAACTTTTCCCCTCCCCAATTCCTAATGTGGTAGGACAATGCCCACAGAATACACTTGGCTGCCCTTCAGTGCTTCAGTGCCATGTCTCTACAACAGAAGGACTGTTGACTGCCTTGGGTGGTTTGTTATATTCTTAAGAGGCAACTTCTCCCAGGTTCTAGGAACTAGTGGTTACTAGCGGTCTTTCCTTTTTTCAGTGTTCTCTTATTTGCAGCAAGTTGTACCTCACTTTATTCCATGTAAGATGACCTGCAGTGTTCTTTCATTTAAAGCAAAAATAAATTTTATATGTTGATGGAAATGAAGTGCAGTGGCCGCACTGTGCGCTAGTGAGGATTGAGCACTGCTTGAATCCAACGAACACTGTTCATTTAGATGATATTTCAGTTTGTATATGGTGGCCCAGGTAGGTGAGCTCTAGAGATATTTATAACACATTGTTTATATGTGTTAAATATCTAGAGATATTTATAAACAATATCTAGAGATATTGATTCCACACTGGGGGTCTCTTGTTGCATTGTCTGCTTTTGAGTTAGGCAAGCCTGGGTTTCTGGGACTGATTCCTCTATTTTTTGAAACCAGGGCTTAGTTGGGATGGGTGATTGACAGTTAGCAACAGAACAGGGAACGAGGTTACCTAGCTTTGTAGGCATCAGCTATCAGCCTTGTCTTTTAACAACCTTCCCTGTTCTGTTCTTAGCAAAATACTTTTTTCTTCCCAAAACCCAGATCAAAAGGACCCATTTAATCCTTCTCCCACCCAGGCAAAGTTAGGCATTCCTCCTAGGAGCTCCCGTGGTACTCATGCTATAATGCAATTATGTATTTGTATTTGGTTTCCAGCATCTGAAGGCAAATCTTACTTTTTTTTTAATGTTTCCCATGAGTGTGTAGTAGAACCTAACATGTGGGGAAGAATCAATAAGTGTCTGTTGACTGATCAAATATACGGATGATATCTAAGTTCCAGGCGGAGTATAGCAAAAAGAGCTGAGACCTGGGTACTGTTTCAGTTTGTTCTTCCACTAAATAACTGTGGCCACACTCTTCTCAGCAGTCCCTTCCCCTCATCAGTGAAGTACAGATAATAACAGCGCCTTAGAATAATAGTTTTGAAAATTAAAAGAGTTCTCGATCATATATTAATTTAACTGTAGGAATGTACTGAGTACCCTTTATGAACCAGGAGCTGTATTAGGTTCCAGAGGTATAACGTTGTTTTTTTCTTTATAAAACTTCCCAACTAGCCAGAAAGACAGATAATTAAATAATTATCTATAATAAAATATAGTGAGAATTATGATTGGAGAAGAACAAGTTACCATGAGAATACAGAAGAGGACATAATCTAGTCTGGTGGTCAGGAAAGACCTCTCCAAATGGTATCAAACAATTGTGAAGTACTCTACTCATGTCAGGTGGGATATTATTACTAGAGAGGAGACTGTCCTTGAGTTCACAGGAGGCAGACATCACACTGTGCGAAGTAAGCCTTCCTAGAAAAGTGGAATGTTGAGCTGGACCCAACTTCCTTTGACACTGCTGACTGATCTTTATCAGGAGGGCATGCACTTTGCATAGTGTTTCCAGGATCAGGGATGGATTTGCCTTCATCAGTCCATGCTCCAACTTGCCTCGTGGCTCTAAGGAACTGAGGCCTCCAGTTAAAGAAGAATATAAACCACAGAGATAGGGAATGTTTTTTTTTAATAATGCCGAAGAGAAATCTGAGAAACCAATCATGCAGATAAGGCAGCAATGTAACATTCTTAACTTCCGCTTTCAAATGCACCCACAATCTGACTGCTTCTCCCCTGTAACTCTCTGGTCTAGGCCACCATTATTGGTCACCGTGATGACTGTAAAAGCTTCCAAACTGATCAGTACCCTTGCCCTCTACAATCTGTCTCCAAACATATTCAACTCTAAAATTTTTATTGCTACCTTGGGCACCTTAACTTGAAGAAGACCAGCTGTTTGCAAGGAGAGGGGGATTGGATGAAAGAGTTTGAAAGAAAGGTCCTGCTCACTTACAGGATGAGGAAATACAGGTAAGTGCTGTCTACCTGCCTCACAGTAGGAATTTGTGGTAGGTAAATAAGACCAAACAAGACTTCCTCTGTTATTTTTGTATTAAAGTGTTTTTAGATAAGCCACTGCTCTTTCACCCTTTCCCAGACTCCCCTCCTCCACATTTCCTACACATTCCCTGAGTTGTTTTCTGGCTGCAAACATCCCATCTCTCTGCCCCCTCATCTCCTTCCCAGTCTTTTCCTGACTCACCCTTCCCAGTCTCTCCCAGCAATGCACTAATATCCTCTTGCCTATCAAAGCCAGCTCCAAACAATTACCCTAATGTCCCAGGCTGGGGGAAGAGACAGGGGAGGAGCCCTGTTTGGTCAGCTCCTGAGTGTACTGAACTTAAAGGCTGGACACTCAGTGTGGGTTTGCAGTGAGGACAGTTAACCTGACCCAGGCTTCATACAGGACTGCATCTTCCAAGGATGATCTATTTTCAAATCTTGGTTTTTCTCAAATGCCAGCAGGGTAAGAAACTGAGGCACTATTTATTCCAACACCTTTATTTTTCTTCCCTCAATTTTTATTCTGAAATATTTCAAACTTACAATAAAGTTGTAAGTAAAAGCAATGAAATCCATGGATTCTTCAACTAGATTAACAGTTGTTAACATTTGCTTTCTGTCTGCATCTCTCTATTTTTCTCTTACACTTTCGAGATTAGTTTTTCTATCTATCCATCTGTCCGTTTGTCTGTCTGTCTGTATATACACACATACACACACACAATGAGCCTTTTGAAAGTAAATTGCAAACAACTTGACACTTCACTCTAAATACTTCATTATGCATTTCCTAAGAATAAGGATATTCTCCTACACATCATCTCATTATCACACCCATAAAATTTAACATTAACAAAATAACCTAAAATATGGTCCAAATTTTTCCAGTTTTCCAAAAATGTCTTTTAAATATCCGCCCCCACCCCACCCCTAATGAAATCAAAGATCAAGTGTTGCATTTTTATATTTGGTTGCCATGTTCCTTTGGTTTCCTTTAATTTAGGACAATTCCCTCACCTGTGTTTTTTTTTTTTTTTTTTTAAATCTTGTTTTGTCTCTCACAACATTGACATTTTGAAAGAGTCCAGGCCTGTTTTCCTGTAGAATGGCTTCAATCTAGACTTGTCAGATTGTTTCCTTGTGATCAGACTCTGAATAAACATTTTTTGGGCAAGAATATTACATTTTGTGTATTTCCCATTGCAAGTCATCAGAAGGTATATAATGTTAATTTGTCCCATTATTGGTGAAGCTCAGTTTGACTGCTTGGTTCAGGTGGTGTCCATCAGATTTCTCTCTTGTAAAGATACTTTTTATCCTTTGTAATTAATAAGAAATAAAAGGGGTAATACTTTGAGACTGGGAAATATGTGTTACCCAGCAATCTTATACTAAATGATTTTATAATTTTTGATGATTTTTATTATATCAATGCTTGCAACATGGTGATTTTCTGATTATATCACTCCTTCTACATCTATTAACTGTCATTTATTCATTAAAAAAGTGCCCTATCCCACCTTTTCAAAAGTTTAACTCTAAATCTTAGAATCCTTTTCATTGTTTTGTTCAATGTTGTAATCTTTTATTATCATTATTATTTTTAATGCTCAAATCGTTCCAAATTTGGCCAGGAGAGCCAATGTCTTTATCTTTTGATTATTTATTTTACTTCTAAGATTACTATTCCAGGGCAAACAGTTGCTTTCTGCTGCCCTTTGTTTTGAATAGGGTTTGAAATTAGATTTCGAACGAGAAACTGGAAGAGCTAACTGATATGTTCTGAGAAGTATAGCCATTTTAAGAATTTCTAGTGGGCTTAAAACACATGTTTTCACAGGATGTGAATTAGAAAAAAAGAAGAAACTAATTTATTTAGTAGGAAAAGATGAAAAGATGAAGCCTCAGTTATCCCCCCAAAACGCCATTTTTTTAAAATTAAGTTTATTGGGGTAACATCGGTTACTACAATTGTATAATTTTCGGGTGCCAAAATACCATTTTTATTGCACCATGAAGTCAGCTGACATTAGAGAATATTTTGTGTTAAGCAGTGCCAAGCTTATGAAAGGCAATATGGTTCATCAAAACTGGGCTTTGTAATTGTACACCTGGGTTCAAAGGCCAGGTCTGTCACAGCTGTGTGACTATGGACAAATTCACCTTTCTCACCTGTTTCCTCATATGTACAATGGGAATACTGTTAACCACTCTAAAGATTTTGTAATGATTTTTTAAAAATGTAGTTTTAGTGCTTGTCGTATATAGACACTCAGGGCAAGTCACCCCTTTCATAAGGGAAGTAGAGAAGGGAACTAAGTTGGGTTACATGAATGGTTAACAGCCTGTTTGTAGGAGCTAGGCAAACGTAAGCGAGTGAACTGCGTCAAGGTTAAGACATTCTAAAACTATTTCCCCTGCTCTTGTAAGCCTGTAGCAAATGCCTGTCACATACTGGCATGTAACTTCCATAGATCAGGGATTTCCATATGTTTTATTTACTATTTTGTCTCTGGTGTCTAAAACATAGTAGGTGCACATTAGATATCTCTTGAATGAATGAATAAAAAAATGAGTGAATAAATACAACTTACCAGATGAAATAGAGATACCTTCTGCTTAACTCAAAAGTGTCAGCCTCTACTCTTCTCCCCCTATTCTAGAGTTGGCTTCTTCTGACATAAAGTGATGTATCAGTCAGCTACTGCTACAGTTATGTTATCTAACAAATTATTCAGTTGCTTGAAACAGCAATCCTTTATTTTCATGCTCATAGACCTACAGATTGGCTTGTCTGATCTGGGCCAGCCCTGGGTTCTGGGCTCCAAACTGCAGGTTGGATTCAATTGTGTTTCATGTGCCTCTCATCCTCCTTGGACCAGTGGTTACTTGGGGCAGGTGATCTATTCCCTGTGTCTCATTCTAGGCCCAAGGTGTAGGATATGAATGTTGGTATAGGCATGGGCTCTCTAAGCTGAGTTGGCTTTTAGGTTTTCTCAACACCGGGGCAGGTGATCTATTCCCTGTGTCTCATTCTAGGGCCCAAGGTGTAGGGTATGAGTGTTGGTATAGGCATGGGTTCTCTAAGCTGAGTTGGCTTTTAGGTTTTCTCAAAACTATAGCTATAGTATAGTCACTCTCCTGACAATTTCAATGGGTGATTTTTGGATCTGCTAGATACAAACATCTCACATTCACATCTCACATATACACACATCTCACATTCCTTTCTTAAATACAAATGTAAATTTTCAGAAGCAACACAAGCTACAAGGAATAAGAAAGGAGTTATGCACCTCTTAATGAACATTCTCTTACCTCTTGAACTTTCTCTGGAAGGGACTTGTTCTCAGTTTTCATGGGGGTAAGAGCAGGGAGTGGTATATTCCTTAAATTGCATAGTATAACATCATGGTAGGATGAAGAAAAACTCTTGTGATTACAGCAAACCTTTACAGTTCTCTTTCAGCCCTCCATCCAAACCCCTAACTCCCTCATGCCGTCCAACACCCTCATGTCTTAAAACAGATGACTTTATGCGTGAAGCCATCCAAGAGATCTTGTAACCTATCTCTGCATCCCTTACCAGCCACATTTTTCACATCACCACCCACCTTTGCTTTCTTCTCTTTTTCTGTACAAGGCTAATCCTGCCATCTCTGCTAAAATCCCATTTAAGATTTCCAATGGACCAAATCATTCCCTTTCTCTCTTCTATCTTCAATTTCTTTCTCACCAAGTGCTTTTTTCCCTGTGGCTATTTAAGTCTCTTCCATCTTAAAATAAAATCCTATTTTTGACCTTCTATTTCCCTCTAGATTCTGCCATACAGATTTGTCCACAAGAATCTAACTAGAGAAGGTGAGAGGACTCCTACATGAAATGGTGGCCCTTGGGAAATAAAGCTGCTTGAGAAAGAGGATGTTACATAATGAGGTAAATGAATACATAATGAGGTAAATGTATAATTGATGGTGAAGGAAACAATCAACAAAGAATTATATTTAATAAGTGGACTCAGGAAGTTTCCTAGTTAATGTATAAAAATATAGCATTTGTCTATACTAGCAATAATTATCTAAAATGTAATTAGAATATAAGAGAGCATTCAATGTAGTCATCAAAACCATAAAGTATCTAGGAATTAGCTTAATCGAATGTTTCAGGATGAATTGCATTCCCTCGAAAAATTCATATGTCGCAGTCCTAAACCCCAATACCTCAGAATGTGACTATAGATGGAGATAGAGTCTTTAAAGAGGTTATTAAGTTAAAATGAGGTTGTTAGGGAGGGCCCTAATCCAATATGACTGGTGTCCTTATAAGAAGAGGAAATTAGGACACAAGGCATGCACATGTGAAGACACAGGGAGAAGGCAGCCATTTACAAGCCAAGGAGAGAGGCTCCAGAATGAAACTGATCCTACAGACACCTTGATCTCAGACTTCTAGACTCTACAATTGTAAGAAAATGAATCCCTGTTGTTTAAGCCACCCAGCCTGTGGTACTTTATTATGGCAACCCTAGCAAACTAATACAGCAAGAATACACAAAATTTCTGCTGATAAAAATTTTTTAAACTCTAAGCAAGGTTTTCCTTTTTTCCTTCTCTTCCCTCCCTTCCTGCACAATTTGGTGCTTAGCCATTAGGTGGGACAGAGCAAGGTGAGCTGTGGTTGGTGCATGGGAGGCAGTGACAGTGTTAGGTGTCAGAGCTGATATAGGTTAAGGGGTGTGTGTGTGTGTGTAGGGGAAGAAGGGTGGTGAGCTAACATGGCAGTCAGATTTCAGCTGAGATGGGAAGAGGAAAATATCTGCCCAGAGAGGTGTGCTGGTATATTTCATCATGCCAGAAATTAAGGAAGTGCTCACAGAATGCTGGGGACATGTCAAGAGGACTCTCACCAAATGGATCCCCACTGGACGCTGTGGGGACAGTTTAAACATCATCATCATAATGATGATGATGGATTATAACCCTTTGACTAAAACAGAAAATATTTCAATACAGATATCAGTGAATAAGTTAATAAATTGAACATTTGATGAGGAATAGGATATTTATATAGTTTAAAAATACCCCCCAAATTCTCATTGATTCCAAAACGGGAAGCAGTAACTTCCCAGAAGACTAGCTTACTGTACCTTAGACAGCCTGATTCATAACCTGAATCTAATCCCAAGAAAATATCAAAGGCAGTTGAGGGACACTCCACAAAATAAGGTCATAAAAACTAAGGTCAGAAAAAATAAAGGAAAGACAGAAGAACTGTTCTAGACTGAAGAAGATGAATGAGACATGACAACTAAATGTAATGTTCGATTCTGCATGGGATTCTTTTGCTATATAAAATGGTATTAGGATGGCTGATGAAACTTGGAGTCCCAGGATTAGAAGATAAAGATATATCAGTATAAATTTCCTGATTTTGATGGTGTGTAGGGTTATATGGAAGAATGTCCTTGTTTGTAAGAAATACACACTAACGTATCAAGGCATGATGATAGGGAATCAGGTCAGAAATTTACTCTCAAATGACTCAGAAAAAAAAACCTTTTTTATTCTTATATTCACATTTTCTTGTAAGTTTGTGGTTATTTCAAAATTTATAAGAGGAAAAGAAAAGCTTTAATACAGGACAGAAGATGATCTATATACATATCCATGCTCTGTTAGATTGGATGGCTCAATATTATAGAAATACCAATTCTCCCCAAATTAATCTTTAATCTTATGCCATCTCATTCAAAATTTCATTTAGATCTTTTGAAAAACTAAAAAACTAAAACAAACAAACAAACTCTAAAATTTACATGGAGAAATAAAATTCTGTGAATATCTACATCAACTTTATATTGAAATCAATATATTTTATATTGTATATTGTACAATATGAAACCTTTAAAAAATAAAGGATAGGGTTTGCCCTACTAGATATTAAACCATACTAAAAAGACACAGTATAAGTAGAATGGTGGTCACCAGGGGCTGGTGGGAAGATGGGGAGATGTTGGTCAAAAGACAAACATTCAGTTATATGAGTAAGTTCGAAGGATCTAATGTACAGCATGGTAACAATAGTTAATAAATAATACTGTATTTTATACTTGAAATTTACTGAGAGTAGATCATAAGCCTTTTCACCACAAGAAAAAAGTTAACTATATGAAGTGATGCATGTGTTGATTAGCTTGATTATGGTAATCATTTCACAATGTTGTGTACAACAAATCACGTTGTACACTTCGATAAATAGAACTTTGTGGCCAATTTTTCCTCAATAAAGCTGGAAGTAAAACTGTAGTAACAAAAACATGTGGTTTTGGTGCAAGAACAGGCAAATAGGTCAATGAAACAGTTTAGAGATAATCCCATGTACGTATGAGAATTTAGTTGTATAATATGATTCATAAATCAATGGACAAAGGACGAATTATTTACTAGATGGGTTGGCTCACCTATGGAAGAAAATTAAGCTAAATGTCTATCTAATCCCATATACAAACTGGATTCTAGAGAGATTAAAATCCGTAGTCTGAATGATAATATTTGAAAGTTAATAGAAAAAAGCATAGTAGAATATTTTGTGAACTACAGTTAAGGAAAGACTTATTAAACAAATCATAAAAAGTACAAATCTAAGACAAAAACATCCAATAAATGATACCACCTTAACATAGAGAATTTCTGTTCAATGAAGGGCACCGTGGATAAAATTGACAGACAGCTAACAGAAGGGAAGGAGATACTTTTTGCAATGTCTAAAAAAACCCAGAGATTAATATCTAGAATATACAATGAACTCCTGCAAAATCAGTGAGGGAAAGACAGCTACTCCAACAAGAAAACAAGGTCATAATTATGTTTATTCTATATGTGAGGGAAACGGGGCTCCAAGAGTTTGAAGCATCAATGTTCCTGCTTCCCCTCGATTTAGCAGACAGGAGTAGAATGATGGTGGCAGTGGTGGAGGTGGCGAGAAGTGTTCAGATTCCAGAAGTATTTTGAAGGCAGTCACAGGATTTGCTGATGCATAGTATGTAACGTATGAGAGAAATAAAGGCATTAGGGATGACTCCAGGGTTTTTAAGCTGAGTGACCAGAAAGATAGATTTGCAAGAGATTGAAACATGGAAATCTGAGGCTGGAGCAGGTTTGGGTTGGGGGACAATAAGGTACTCAGTCTTGGACAGGCTGAGTTTGTGATGGCTCTGTCATTTAACACTATACAAGCCACTCAATTGCTCTATGCCTTAATTTCCCTTTCTGAAAATTTCTCACGTCTTTGAGTATTTTTCATTGTTATCGTTCTTAGAAGGGATCTTGGGGAGTATTTAGTCCATCTTCCACACTTTACAGGTGAGGGGAATGAAACCCAGAGAAGGCTAATATAATAGGGCTAGAACCCCAGCCTCTAATTTCCTTTTAGAGATCTTTCCTTTATGTGATACTGCTTCTCCTCTGCTCTAACTTAACAAACAGGTAAAGAATATAGAAGACCTCTGCTCTGTATAAAGTGGGATACAAATGCTACGTATCAGTGTTGCTTGATCTGCAGGAAATGACTTCCTCGTTACCTTTCAAATTTGCCTTGACTGAAAGATAAGGGCATCTGTAAGTCATGTAATCCCCCTCCATTCCTTTTTTTCTGGTGGCAATAATACAAGTGAAAATGTTTTTCTTTTGGTATATACTTTCTCCTTGTTAAAAGGGAAGGGGGCCTTCTAATTCAATTTGGAACCAGGCTCCTGTCACTACAAACAAGGCAGCTTGTTCTCCCTCTCTGTAAGCATGAGGCCACCTGGTGAGTAGGCACTTGGCTTAGACTTGGGAAAGCAAGTAACCCCCCAGGAATCCCACCTTATCTATACCTGTGCTTGAAATGCCATCGTCGATGAAATAACTAATGTTTACTGAGTGCTTACTCTGTGCCAGGCACTGTTCTAAGTATTATTAGAACACATGTATTAATTCATAGACTGCTAATCACTCTACGAGATATGGTTTTATTAAAATCGAACCCCTTTTTAGAGATAGGAAAACTAGGTACAGAAAGGTGAGGTAAATTGTCTAAGGTCTCGCACAGATACTAAGGGGCAGAAGCAGGATCTGAACCCAGACAGGCCAGCCTCAGGGCCCAGGGCCAGGGTTGACGACACTACAGTGTTCGTGGTAATTAAACACTTCTACAGAGGTTTAATTCTCCAAACATCTTCTACTACTACTACCACTACTTCTTCTTCCTCTTTTCCTTCTCCTCTTTTTCCTTCTCTTTCTCCTTAAATGCAGCCACCTCCACTGAGAAGCTGGAAATCCATTTTCAATCATTCACACTGCCATGTAACTCAGATTCTTAGATGATTTCCTGTCCACTTGAGAGCAGATCCTTGAGACACAAATCAGTTTGACATTGAGAAGGAAGCATTTTGCACGTGGATTTAACATTTACTGAGCTCGGCCGGCATTTGACACATGTTATTTATAGAAACCTCCGAATGTCCCTGCAGGATAAGAATTATCCTCCTTTTATGTATGAAGGGAAATGGGGATCTCAGAGGTTGGAGTTGAGTCTGGTCGCTGGGCATTGCCAGTGGCTGCACAAGGCCCTGGGACACCTGTGGCTGGCTAAGACAGAAGGGCTTTCTGGAAGGGAGAAGCAGGGTACTAAAGTCAAACATCCTAGTTCTGTGTAGCTCTGGGCCTAGAAAACACAGCTGGATTTATTCAGCAACAACAATTGGGACAAGCCAGTACCTCCCCACCTATAAGGGCTTTTGTGCCACAGTATAGAAGACAAGGATAAGGCAATGTGCTTTGTAATCTCAAGTTAGTGGCACAGGCTACCTGAATCCTCTACCCACCCAGCAAGGACATTCTAGTGATGGAGGACAGAGAAAAGAGGACTGGAGCTAATTTATAACTTTAAAATTTGTCATTGCTTTTGTTATTTGCCTCCAGTCTTTCAAATACTCATGTCCCGAATGCATTAGTTTATATGCATCTGGAATCTGAAATCTAAGGCCCACCACACCCTATATAGACTATTCTTTGCTTTGTGAATTAATTTTATCTACCGTGCATTTCAATTTAGTCTGGAAATGTCTTTGCTTGAGATTACCAGCTTCGATTTTTTTTCAGAGGCGTAAAGAAGAGGTGACTCTGGCAGACTCAAGCTCTCTGATGTTTCAAGCTACAAATATGTGAACTGAAGTCACGGTCGATTTGCACTTCTGGATTTAAAAACAGATATTATTTACAAACTAACTGCCTGACTGACAGAAGGACCCCAGTGGAAGCAGGATGAGAGTAAACCAGGCTTTTCAGTGCAGTTACCCCTTGGCCTAACTCTTCTTTCAGAAAATCTCTCTCTGGAAGGGAGGCTTCAATAGTGGGTCCCCATCCAGGCACTGAAAAGGCAACATAAAACCCTCCTTTTGTAGGCATCTCCCAAAATAACTCTCAACAGGATATGGCTCATTATATTAGTTCTGTAATTTTATTTTCTAAATGATGCTTGTCTTCAAAGCTTGGCTGGGGGAGCTATAACTAAGATAAACTGGGGTTCAATGTTTTGTGACAAGACTGCCTTAGATTTACTCATGACTTTTTAAAAATATACAGTTTTTGAAAACCCATGACACAAAATACTGGATCTTCTTCCATCTTGTCATTCATTTCCCACATTTGATATAAGTATCGAGTGCCTCTTTTTTGTCAGGCTCTTTTCTGGAGCTGGGAACACCCATCAGTGAGCAGATACCAACTGGCCTCTGATCTCAAGGAACTCAGGGCCCAGAGGAGAGATGGATGATAATCCAAGGATCTCACAAATTCATGCAGCTGTGAGATGTGCTAAAGAGGCCAGGGTCTGGTGCTAGGAGAGTGGGCATTGAAGCAATTTGAAATAGCCTGGGGGAGGGGGGTCAGGGAAGGAATGCATAAGCCAAGAGTGGGCACAGTATGCGCAAATGCCCTGGACTGTTTTCAGTACCAAGGACTTGGCCAGTGAAGCTTAGCAAAGCCAGGCAGGGGATGGCAGTGACAAGACTGGAGAGGCCAGTGCCAGACCACGTGGCTTTTACAAAATTATAACCCAGGTCCACCCACAAAGATTCTGATTCAGTTGGAGGAAGAAGGACTAGACATATGTATTTTTTAAAAGAGCCCCAGGTAAAGCAGCACCAAGGTTGGGAATCTTTAGCCTAGGTTGTTTGATCCTTAATCTAAGGGCTATAGGAAACTACTCAATTGTTGATAGCAGGGAAGTCACATTCGGATACACATCTTGTGTTCCTAGGATGCCTGCACATACACACATCCAGTGAAGCAAAAAGGAAGCCTTAAAAAAAAAGTATTTAAATAGCTTTCGACTTTACAAAAATGACTTTTTTTTAAAAAAGATGACAAGATAGAGGCAACAATGGATGTGCATTTTTTCCCCTAATGCTACTTAAGTATTCGTGAGAATCTCTGGCATTAGAAATTCTAATTCAAATAGCATGGTGCCAATTTAAATTTCAAGTCTTCAAAGAATTTTCCATTTGTCCTCAGAAATCTCTCGCCCTAAATTATGGAAGCTCCTTTCTTTAACATGAAAATCTTGTACTCACATAGGCTCTTTATTTTTAAAAAAATGTCATGAAAGGAGCACGGGTCACAGAAATTGTTCTGATTTGAACACTTTGGTTGCAGTAGGGGATTTGTGATGTTAGAATCGTATGATATCTCCCCAGATAAATTGCCTTCCAAATAAATTGGTTTGCTGGTCCTGAAAGTGTTTCCATAATAATATCTCATTAGACCCTCACAGTGATATTGTGAGGAAACTGAGGAACAAAGACATACATTAATGACTCCTTCGAGATCAAACAGAAGTTAGTAGCCAAACCAGAACTAAGCCTCAGTTCCTCCTGACTTCTACAGCTTCATGGCCTTTTTCCCCCTCATGTAAAAACTGGGAAATGTGATCTCATAAATCAAGACTTTTCAGAAGATTTTGGTCATGGGATTATAATAATTGTAACATACTGTTCCCTTTTGTAGACTCTCCAGACATTAACTCAATTAATTATCTCACAACTCTACTTCAGGGTGAGAATTATTCCCATTTCACCTTTGTTCACCCAAGTTCAATATATTCCCCAATAACAGTGAGCTTGTGAGGGCAGTTTCCATGTCCATCTTATTCACAGACATACCCCCATCCCAATGCCTAGTGTAAGTAGGCAGTCACTAAAAATGTGCTGAGTCAATAAATGAATAAATGACTAACTCAGATTGAAAATTCTTTAAGGATAAGAACTAGAACTCTTTAATTTGTCTCTATTTGTCTAATATTCCTTTATGTGGCCTCTGGAATTTAGTAAATTCTTAACTAGGTAGCTTGTTGAATTAGTCCAAATTTTATAAAGACCACGGATGTCATCATTTCTTCTACTCTTAGAGTGATCAACCATCATGGCTGGCTCAGGACTGTCCTGGGTTTAGCACTGAAAATTCTTGCCTCCAAGGAACCCCGTTAATCTGGAGAAGATCAAGACAACTGGTTATCCTAATTAGATACAGAACATACAATTTTCACCTGTAACAATGTTCCTTTCAACCTAGCAGTTCTCAAAGTGTGATCCCCAGACCACTAGCATCAGCATCTCCTGGGAAACATCTGTAGGAAACAGGCAGATTTTCAGGCTGCTCCTTGGTCCTACTGAATCTAAAATTATGGAGGTGAGGGTGAGCCCAGCAATCCATGTTTTAACAAGCTCTCCAGGTGACTCTGATGGCTGACAAAGTCAGAATCACTGTCAACCTGACCATCATTTGATCAAAACGGGAAGTAAAAAGATACAGCCAAAAAGCAGACCACTGAAATAATCTCATTTGTGTCCTTCTTTGGCTTTAACTTTCTTTGATTACTTTATATTCCCTAAGTCTGGCTAAGCTCCTCCAACTGAAGTGGTAAAGAAGGCAAGGGCGGGTGCCTCTTAACACATTTTGTGACTTCAAAACTTGGAAGACTTGGTTTACAATAAGCCAGTTTCTACTTTCAGTGGCAGTATCACTTATTCCTTACTGTGCATAATGGGTAGAGCAGATGAAAGAAATTATTTCAATATATGAGTGAGCAAGGATACGCCATACATAGATCCATGAACAAGAAGACAGTAGTAATACTTGAAAAGAATGTCTTTTAGAAAGGGTATTTCACTATTATCTTTCTTGTTTAAACCACCAGATTCCCAGAGACACAAAAGACAGGGCCAGGCCTAATGCCCACCTTCACATCATCTGGTTATTCAAATTCCTGAAACATCAGCGAATCCTAAGAGAACAAATCAGGCATTTTGCTAGTCTCTGTAACATTGGACAATTTAAATAGGATTCTTAGTTACACAGATACCATAAAGTCTTTAGGGAGATAAGTAGAAAAAAAGGCACTGAAAGGTTTCTCTTTTTCATAGATAAGGAAACTGAGTAGCTAAGTGACTTCCTTGGATTTGAATTACTTTTGAGAAGAGGCATCTGAACCAAGAAGGAAAGTCAGGAATGAGGGGCTTCTGCACAAAGCTGGGGCCATTAGGGCTGGTAGGCATTCACCTTTAAAGACCTGAAAATGGTAAACCTTTTTGAATGACTTGCCAGACAGGCGGAGTGATGGCTCCCAGCCATGGAACTCACTGGATGGCTGTCAAGGTTCAAAGTTCCATTTGCAGGTCTCCTCCTTCAAGGTTTTTTTTTCTTTTTCTTTTTCTTTTCTTTCTTTTTAAAAAATTTTTCCTAACATGGCTCCTAACTGGTTTGGTTGGCCTGAATAATTACATTCATCCACTGCTCTCTTGGGTGTTGCATCATGGAGGGGTAAAGACGTGGGCACCCTGCCAGAACATACACTTGTGAATATTGCCAGCCAAGATCAGTTTCTGACTCAGCAAGAAATGGTGCCCCAGGATCCCTTAAGAAGCCATTGTGTTTTTCTAGGGCAATGAATTACCCAAATAACCTTGCAAATCTATCTCTTTCCCATCTCCTTTTTCTCACCACGTTGTGGTCCCATTAACTAGGGATGAATGAAATATCCTCTCAAGTTGATCTCCAAATTTCAATAAACTAAAAATAGTAATAGGAAACATAAGTAGTGCTTACTATGTGCCATGATCTCGTCAAAGTGCTTTACACATATTACTAACTCATTTAATCCTTACAATTGCCCACTCAGGTGGGTACTATTACTATGCCCATTTTACAGATGAGGAAACTGAGGCTCAGAGAGGTTAGGTTACTTTCCCAGGACCATACAGCTAGCAAGCAATACAACTGAAATTTGGACCCAGGTAATTTGATTCCAGACCTTGTGCTTTCAATCACATCTCCCTGTTATTCCCTCTATAAAGGGTAAATTAAACTGATCTTCCAATCTTCTCCACTACAAATATACCTACAACATGTTATCATACTGACCACAGCAAACATTTCATTCCATAGGACAGATAAGGGTGATGTTACCTACTAATAACTAGAATGTGAGCTGCTTGAGGGCCTTCCTCTATCTTCCTTGGAGACCTAACACCTCACACATAGCAAACATTCCTTGAATGTTATATAAAAGTATTTGGAAAACTATGAAGGACTCTGAAATCCTTCTACAAATGGTCATATATACCCATATCTTTATGTTCAACAAGAATCCCAACTGTGTGGCTTCATAGTGTAGTGGTTAGCACATCTACTTTATATGCAGAAGGTCCTGGGTTCACGCCCCAGGTGGAGCCACAGACCATACCCTGGGTGCCCTGGGCCCCGGGTGTGCCGGCCCCCCGGGTGTGCACCGTGAGCGCATGGGAGGAGACACCCCGCCTTCAGAGATCCAATTCTTAAGGAGAGCTGGCAACATCCATAGGTCAGGGGTGGAAGTGGGGGGTGGGGATTAAAGAGGGGGAGAAAAAAAAAAAGAACTCATCTCAGTGGCATCTGACGCTGCCTCTAATTTCCCCATGCTCATCAACCACACATGGCCAGTGCTGCCTTCTGCCTTCCTGGTCTCTGCCTGCTTGCTTGGTGACAGCTCCTGTTATTGGTCAGCCCTGAGGCTTCCACTGAGGTCTCTAGTCCTCTGCGTGTGCCTTTTACTCCAAGGCACATGTATGTGATATGTATATCATCATAATCTTATATTTACATATGCTAATTTATGGCAACCGTTAGCACTTGTATAGTGTTTATTCAGTGTCAGGCACTTTTGTAAGCACAAAGTTGTGTTTCCTTTGAGTGATGTATCAGTCTCGGACAGCTTTTAAAACAGATTGCAGGGCCCCAACTCCAGAGTTTCTGATCCAATAGGTCTGAGGTGGGGCCTGAGAATTTGCATGTCTAACAAGTGCAGATGTTGCTGGTGCCACACTTTGAGAACCTCTCTTGTAGAGCATCAGATAACCCTCAGGTGGACACATTAGAAAAGTTCTTGTCCAATGTTGGAAGGGCATTGGATAATATTTTATAACAGAAGAAGGGCAGAAAGGAACTCTTCATCATAGCTCTAAGGGCAGAAAGGAACTCTTCATCATAGCTCTCTATCCAGGGTGAATTTGATAGATTATATCACTCTAGAGTTGGAAAATCAGTTGGCTCTTATGAGCCTCAGCAGTTGGACT